CGCCATCCCCCGGCCCCAGGCCCCTCGCCCCGACGCCCGCCGTCGGACCTCCAGTCCCTCTCGCTGTAGCCTCGGCTGGCCTCCGCCTCTCGGCACCCGGGTCTGCTTTTGGCTGCTCCCGATGACTCCGCCCCGCTGCGGGTGTCGCTGGAGTGGGCTTTGGGCGTCTCCTCCTCTGCGCTTCCGCCCAGTCCTAGCCTAGCCCTGGAGGGGGATGTCCCCGTAAACAACTCCAAGTAGCGGACACTGATTCAGCCCGTGTCCTCCCACTGCCAGCCCGTCCCTCTTTCCATTTCTGCGCCTGTAGCCTCTGTTCCTGTCAGCGCTTTCTCAGTGGGGGTGAGATCCGTTGCCCCTCCTCCCTGGATAGTGATTCAAGGCATCCGAGAAGTCCAGCATGGATGGAGGAGAGAGCAGGTGCGCGCAAAGATCGGGCCAGGACGAGGCTGGAAGGCGACCTTGCAAGGAGGGAAGAAGAGACGCAGGCTCTAGGCACGGCAAGGCTGGGACCCCCCCACCTCCCAGCCTGTCAATGTAGCTTTCAAAATAAACACGTGATCATACAATTTAGAATGAACCCAAGTCAAAGTCAAATGACACACAGTCATTCAACTCAGCAAGGTGGTAATGCTGATTTCGGGAACAGCTGAGGAGCTCATATTTGTAGGCACTTTTTATAAAAAAAATATTAGGATAAGATTGCTGGGTAAGATACCAAATTAGCTAATGTCCTACAGAGCAATAAACTGCCACTTTTGGAGTTATCTTTTTTGTTGTTGTTTTCAATAATCTTCAATAAAAATACATGCATATAAATTTTAATCTCTAATGAAGTAATCTATTTTCTTTTTTGTTATAATAATCAAGTCATTTATATGATAGTTAAATGTTTAAACTAGCCATAAGTTTTTTGTTGACTGTTTTTGTTCAGTGCTTTGATTTTCTTCGATTCGTTAAGACAAAGATATCTTCTCTTAAAAAAAAAAGGTTGAGGATTATACAATCTATTTATTTATCTCTAGATAATGCCCTCACTCAATTCTCCCCCTTTTTTTTAAACTGAGAAGAAATCATTTCCATCTCTACCAGATGCAAGTTACATGAACTTCACATAGACTGAGGCCTTTATTAATAAATAATAAATAGCAAAATCAAGCAATAGTACATTTTTCTAGAAAACTAAACATCCTTGAAACGTTAGGCAGTGTTCCTCTTGATCAGTTTTGGATTTTTTTTTCTTAACATGGCTGTTTCTGTGAGTGTATCAGGAAACAAACTGATCTCTTTATCTAGGATTCTTCTCTCAGTTTAAAGTCCCCACTCCCTTGCTTCTCATGGTGGCCCTGCTGTACAATCCCACCCCCTTAGTTTTTTTTTTTTAACAATAAAAGGAATCATACCATGCTAATCATTGTGTGACTAATTTCCACCTACATAACAATACATCATCAATGTTTTCCCTATGTCAGCATTTAAGGATTGACTTTATTACCAACTACATTATTTTTCTCAGTAGAATTGTTTCCTAATTTAACATTCTCTTTCTGGCATTTACATTTCTAAAAGTTTTTTTCCCCCTACTATAAATAACATTGCATAGAACATCACTGTAAACATTTCTTTATGCAAATATGGGAGTTTTCAGTAAGACATTTTCTTGTAAGTGCTTTGCTGGATTAAACCCCCCTTTTTTTTTATTCTAAAGTTTGATTGAGCCTTCCAAAGAGTTATCCTCCAAAATTACACTGTCACGCTGTTTAACCAGGGCCCTGTGGATTCACACCCTTGACAACTCTGAGTACACTTCACTAATGACCAGTGAGGTTAAATATCTTTTCACATGTTTATTAGACATTTAGGTTTATTTTATGAGCCACCTTTTGTGAATTTTGTGTTATGTTATTTGCCCTTTTTTTCTGCTGGGTTATTTATTTGTAGAAGCTCTTTATATATTTCAGATATTTACTATTTGTTGCAAATAGTTGCTTCCATTGGTTACTTGCCTTTAATTTTTATGTCTGACAACCCCTGTGTCTGAATTGTCTCATCAACCTTGTTCTGTGCTAATGTCTTAGAGTTGCATCTCGCTTTCTACCCCTTTGCTGCTACCTACACACATCTTTGTCCTCCTCCTTCCCTGGTGACTCACTCTACCCAGTTGTGGAACTCTTGACAGGGGGTAAGCTGGGCTCTTCTGGGACCTTCCACCCTACACTCCCGCCTCTTTTCTCTTTCCATGACTCCTGAATTTCCAAAGTGAAACACCTGGGATAGTGGAGGCAGGAGTCCTGGTGGTGAAGAGGGGCCCAGTCCTTCCCCTGTGGCTAGAAAGCCCAGTTGGGGTGGGGGTCCTCACAGCATGACATTGGGGTCTGGATGTTCAATGTCTCATTGTCCATAAGGAAGCCCTCACCTAAGCCAAGGGGACCACCATTCTGAAGAGTGAACTGTATATCCCCTAGAGGTGAATGTTACCTGTAACAAACTTCTACTCTACTACTTCATCCATCCATCCATCTATCCATTCATCCATTTTTCCTTTCATCCATCATTAAACAGACTTTTGTCGGGTATCTCTCATGTGTCAGCACAAAGCAGGGCACAGGCATACAAAGCTGAATGAGACCCAGTTCCTGCCTTCCAGAAACTCACCGTCTAGGAAAGGAGCACACAGGTAAGTGAAAAAGGACACAGAAGGGTTTTAGGAATCATTTGTGTATTAATTCCTCCATTCAGCACCTACCTAGCACCTGCAGTGTGGAGGGCAGTTATGAACTCTGTCCTCATGAGCTTACAGCCTAGTGATGGAGGGAAGGATGGGCTCATGTGTTGTGGAACATGCCTCTGAGCTAGCCTCAAGGGGGAGAGAAGCATGGAGGCAGCACACCAGCTCTTACCTGCCTCATCTTGGAAGTGACATATGTCACTCCTCTCACAATCCATTGGCCAGAATTGGTCATGTGGCCGCAACCAAACCGCAAAGTAGCCTGGGAAATGTTGGGAAGTGCCTGAGATACCTGATGAGCCCAAACGCCTCCTGCCCACAGCCACTGGTGATTTCTGCCACTCCAGGTTAAGTCAAACAGACTCTTCTTCATGGAATGTGAATATCGAGGCAAATAATTCAAGGACAAAACGTGGTAGGAACTTCATCATTCTGACAGCAGTGCCTGAGGGAACTTGTCCACTGGTCCCTGTCCAGAACATCCGGGTTTCCAGGACTTCTTGAGGACTTGTTGAGCTCTTACTCTGTTTATCCCTTTCTTTAAGTGGTTTATCCCTTTCTTTAGTCCCTCAAGGCACTCAGTTTCTTTTCCATAAACTCTTTGATTGCTTGAGTTAGCAGGAATTGTTTTAAACCAAGGAAGTTTAACAGCTTTATATCTCTGAATCACTTGGGGTTACCCTGACTCTCAGTAAAGAAGGACAGTTCGCATTCTGCCTGCCGGGCAGCACTGCTCTTTCTGAAGCATTGTTCTGTTTATTTCAGTGGCCATGTTGACGCAGTTATTCAAATATATATTGCATCTGTCCACATTGTTTTATAACAACTAGTGAAATGGAAAAACCCAAGCTCTGATACTTGCAATATGAGACAGAGAAGGAAATCATTACATGAATTCAAGGGGACACATTTTTGGCTTTAATGAAAGCTCACTGAGTCGGAACAAGAACAAAGAAAAGCAAGATTAAAGAATGTATATGAAATGTTGGAATTCCATCACTGAAGACTGAATCTAGAAAGCACATATGACTGAATCTAGAATTATATAATATTGCTTTAGTCTCTGGAAATGGAAACTGTTTTATAGCATGCAAGGCTTTTGTTCAACTTTGGGGCACATCTTTTACAAAGCACATGTGGGCACTGCCTGCATGTCCCAGCAGTATGTCCTCCTCATCTTCCTGGCTTCCCATGGCCCTTTCTCAGTGAGCGGTTTATTTTAAAGCTGGGACTACAGGTCACCACCAACCTCTTGGGCAGTTTTTGAACAGGCCACTCCTTGCGCTGCTGGACAGTCTGGAGGAGGACTGCCCTTGAGTCAGGTGACCATCAGATCCAGTGGGATCAGGGGCAGGGTTAAAGTCCCCACAGCACGCTTCCAGGGGGCTGTGAGTGTGCAGGCACTTTGAGGCTTGGAGCCTTCAAAAGGCATAGTGGTACCATCCCATGAGGCTCTGTTCTATGGATTATTTCTGTTTCTGTTTCATTGTGGGTGGGGGGTAAGTGACATTAGGCCTGATTGTCCCAGGAGAGTCATACGGGGGCCTGGTTTTCTGGGGAGTCCTTTTCTCTGGGTGAAAGTTAGCCGAGAGTGATGGGGTCAAAGGGGTGCTACCTCAGGCCCTATTCTCCAGGGAATTTAGATGGAGATACTGTTCTCGATGAGGGGAGGGTCCAGGTAGGTATAGGGCAGCTCCAGGCCCTGGTTCCGCTCCCAGATGTCCCATGAGATCTGGGCCAGGCGGTTCTGGAAGGTGGCGATGCTCCGATGCGGGGCCTCCTCAGTGAAGTGCTCATCTGGGTAGGTGCCCAGGGGCCGCTGGGAACCAAACACAAGGTTGGATGAAGGGGCTGGGATCCACCTTAGCTGTCCACGCTGGGGGACCTGAAGCTTCATCCACGCCCCTGCCCCCCGGACAGTGAAGATTACTGCAGGCGGCTGTCAGGGATGAAAGCTCAAGGTGGAGTTTTAAAGGGGGCAGCCACCCTGGAGCACATCACACGTCCTTGCAGCTAAGGGTGACTCTGCATCATCTCATTTGGCCATTTGATCCTCCTTGTGAGATGTCCAACACCCGTGTGATCCCCGGGAAGGTTCAGTGGGGTCTGATGGCAGAGTGGGTTCTGGGTCAGGGAGGGTAAGCAACACTCCCTCCCTTCCCAGAGCTGGCCTGGCCTGGCCCTCAGCCCCACACTCACTTGATCTCCAGGCTCCTTGCTTAGCATCCAGAAGATAATGATCATATCACACGTGGCATTGACTGGTGGGAGGGTAGCTAGGAACCCCTCCAGGTTTGCCTGGGCTTTGGAGGTGGGCGGTGGCAGCTGCATGGAGGGCGGCAGGTTGGGCATCCAGGCACTGAAGTCAAACTGAAGGCCAAGAGGGCAGAGTGAGGCTGGGAGCCAGGCTCACTCCACCCTGCCGCCCTGGCACTGACCTTTCTCACCTGCCCCGCACTGATAGCAGAGTGCTTGGCCTAGCGGTTGAATATCACCATGGTAACATACTGTATCAGGGCTTCCCGTGTCCGCAGGGAGGAGGGTAGACCTGCAGAGAGAGCTGGGCTGGGAATGGGGCTACCGGGGTCCTGAGGACAGGATGCAGAAGCCTGAGGGCAGGACAGAAGAACTGAGGTCCCCCTACCTGAGCTCTCCCGGCCTAGGAAGCCCTCAGAGAAGATCTCCCACACCCAGGCCTGGAGTTCACTGTCATCGCGGACAGACTCATCACTTGGGTAGTAGTTGTTGATAATTTCGGAGACAAAGCTGCAAGGTGCACCGGGTTCCATCCCAGCTGTCAACCCTGACCCTCTCTGAGGAGTGCCCCTGCCCAGTGCCCAGTGCCATTAATGTCCAGCCCTCCTCCTGGTGGGGAGCCTCCCTGAGCCTTCCCTCTCCTTCCTGTCTTCCTGCCTGACCCCCAACACCCCAGCTCTCTGGGGTTGACCCCCTCACCGCTCCACTGCATCCCAGATCTTTATCCCATCATCTCGGTGGTAGTAGCCCGAGATGTCTTCAACTCCTTGGGCCCGGGTATCCTCGGGAAGACACAGGGCGGAGTAGTTCAGCTCTTCCATGTGCCTCTGTGTCAGCTCAGACAAACCTTCAAGGCCAAGGCCTGTGGACTGGGAGATGGGACTCCTGGGTGCCGCAGCCCTTGCCTCAGAGGCAGGACTGATAGGGAGACAGGGCCACTCCCACCCCAGGACCCCATATTCTTTCTATTGAGGGAATATCCTGCCCCCACCCTCCCTCAAGCAGTCCTTACCCTGTCCACCACCTTCCCGGAGGCGATGAGCAGCTCGCAGCCCAATGTGCTGATATACAGGGTATACTGTTTATGTGGGATCAGCAGCTGTAAGGGCCAGAGAAGGCAGAGCTGGGTGAAGCCTGTGTCTCTCTGGCCTCAGACCTCCTCACACAGACATATCCAGTCCTGTAAATCACCGTGGAAAGAGATGACAGGGACAAGAGGGGCAGCCTGGGACAGGGATCATGGCTCCAGGCCCAGGGACGGGGGCTCGGGTCCACCAGCATCTTGTTCTGTGACCTCAGGCTCGCACCTTCCTCTCTCCAGGCATCAGATCACCAGGCAAAAGAAAGGGCTGAGCTGGATGAGCACTGAGTCCCCCCAGCTCTGGCATCCTGGGATTTCCTAACCCCTGGGCAGGTTAAGCACCATGAAAACTAGGGTCTGAGGGCTTAGCAACATGGAACCATCCCCTGGAGCCCACCTCTGAGTGCCAAGCCCTGGGAGCTGCAGACTGTCAGGAAGAATCAGCTTGGATAGAAGAGGACAGAGTAGGGCCTGCATCCAGGATCCAGGAGACTGTCCAAGCAAGAATCAGAAACTCTGAGCAGCTGTGGGCCCTGCGTGGGGGGAAATCCCACTCTTCGTAGAGGAGATGCTCCAGGTTCCTGGAGGAAGTGAATTGGGGCCATCTGAAAGCTTAGCAGAGCTCACCTTAGAGCCATGTCTCTGCCCCTCTGGCCCCCACAGCTATCTGCAGAAAAGCTATTGGTCAAAGCCACGTTCATACTTTGGCATCTGTCATCCTCAGGTCTCTCCTTTCCTTGGAGCTGGGCTTCTATGATGGCTGTTGGCCTGAGCACCCCTAAGAAGGGAACCTCTCCGGGGGCACAGCCTGCTCTCACACGTGGTCCCTTGCCTTGCCCGAGTCCCCATCATCTCACCCGAGCTCAGGGCCTGCAGGAAAGCAGGGACTCAGGGGCACTGTGCAGGGAGGTGCTGCTGAAGCAGGGTGGGAGCTCAGCACTCCGGCCTGGAAGGACAGGACCACCTGGGGACAGGCTGCTTGGAAGAGGCAGTCCGAGGGGCTGGCTGAGGGACAGGGAACTGCAGGCGTGGGGCACAGTCTGGGCCATCTTGCCGAGTAACTGACCTTGAAGAGTACGTGGCAATGGGGCAGCTGGCGTAGCAGAGCCAGGGTGAAGACCTCGGCTATCAGGTGCCCCTGTAACAGGTGTGTGAGGGCCTCGTGGAAGGTGAACTCGGCATTCGCACCCACGTCTTGGCCAGCAGCCAGTCCCACTTGTTGTCAGTGGGCAGAAAGATAGGGCTGTCAGGCCCAGGGTTCTGGCTGAGCTAGAGGAGAGGCCAGTGGGAAGAGGTAGCCTTCAGTGTCTGTCAACCTCTCAGTCAGACCTCTCCCCACCCTTGCCCTGCCCCCCGCCCGGCTGCTGACCTGGATGGCGAGGGGCAGCAGGGGCCCACACCCTGGCCGCTGGTAGAGCAGGGTCATTAGGGTGGCAGAGAACTGAGGCCTCCCATTAATGACATTGGTGCAGACGCCAGAGAGGATGCCATGATCCACCAGGAACACGGAGCCCTTCTGTGGGAGAGAGAGGGGAGCCAGGGCTGCCACCTGGCTTTTCTAAAGGTGGGGAGTATGGGAGTTGGGGGGGCAGGAGAAGAGTTTGCACAGGAGAGGGTATTCCTGGCACATGGCACACAGTAGGTCCTCAACAAAAGTGAGTGCTGTTCCTCTCCAGTAGGGATGGGCCTGAAGGACTGAGATGGGGGTGTGCAGAGCCTGGGCCCTTGTGCCCCTCACCTCCAGCTCAGCCTGCAGGCTGGTCCCTGGGCCCAACATGGGGGCCACCATGGCATCGGTGACAGGGAAGTTCTTTGGGAGGCAGCAACAACGTCGGATCAGAACCGGGCTGAGGCCGTTCGGGAACTGGTAGGCGAAGAAGGCGTCCTCCTGCCAGTGCTCAAACCCGTACCCTGCAGGGGGAAGGGGAGATGGGACGGGTCGCCCCAACCCCTAGAGGGCTCCCCCGACCGACGCGGTGGCTTCCCCACGTCCATCCTGTGCTACCTTCTCCTCTCTGGCTCTGCCTTTCTCAGGGTGACCTCCTCTGACCCCTCGGCTTTAGTCACTGCTCATTTGCCAAACAGCGAATCTTAGTCCCCAGCCCACCTGTCCCACCGCCTATGTGCTGTCCCCAACCCCATGAGTCTAACCCAGCTTATCCAAGGCTGAACATGGGTTCCTGCTTCAGTCCAGTCCCTTCCCCATTGCCTGGCATCCCGGGAATGGCACCTCAGTCCACCAGATGGCCTGTGGCAGAGCCTGGGGATCTCCTGGCAGCCCCCCACCTCCCGTCAAGTCCCCATGATCCTCCATCCTCAGTAGCTCTTGGTTTGCATGTCCACTCCATCTGTGCTGTCACGGTCCTGCTGAGGCTCCCATCCTCTGCTCACCACAGCCAGAGCCTTATAACTGTTCCTCCTGCTTCTACTCTCGTCCCCTAACAGCCCACCCTGCACAGAGCACATCTGGCCACATTACTCCCCAGCCGGCTGCCAGTTGAAGCCTCCCATGGCGTGGCCGGAGTTCCTGCCATGGCCTCCACAGTCCGCACAGCCTGGGCGCGTGCACCTCCCCTGCTTCGCCTCCTGTCTTCCTGCCCTGGCTCAATACCGTTTGGCCACAGCAGCCTTCTCTCCCCAAAAGGTCCTTCTGTCTTCAGGGCCTTCCCCAGCACCGCCCCCTGACCCTGAACACACCATGCTCAGTGCTGTGAACACCTGCCCAACTCTGAGGTCTCAGCATAAAGGTCACCTCCCTGGAGAGCTTTCCAGGACGCCCCTCTGGATTGGGGCAGGCCTCCCCTTTTACACACTCTCATCAGAGCCAAAGAGCAGGTTTCCCAACTGAAACTCATTATTTGATTTAGAGCCTAATGTCCCCTTGCATGTTCAGTTATGAGCCCTGTGGGGACAAGGACTGTACCCACAGCCCCTAAGCCAGTGACCGGCGTGTAGCAGCCCAACGCGTGTCTGGTGGATTAAAAGGCATTAAGGAGTCAGGGCTGCCCCCAGTACTCATCCACTTTTGTGTCTGGGGAGAAAGTCAGGGGCCTGCCCAGGGCCACACAGTGAACTGGGGCTTGGTTTTCTGAGGCTCTTGACAGCCGCGAGAGCTGATGCCCAGGGAAGAGGTTCAGAACCCCGGCCCGAGCTGCTCACCAACGGCTGGCGTCTTCCAGAAGCTGCACACCTTGGTCATCTCCTTCAGACTCTTCCAGAGCCCCTTGCGGTGCCGCAGCCCCTTGACTTTCAGCTCGGCCAGCCTGCCAGAGGTGTGAAGGGTGGGGCGGGGGAGGCAAGAGGCCCTGGGAGGCCCTCCCCTGTCGGCCTGCCTCATCCCCTCTGGGATCCTGAACCAGCCTCCGGGGCCTGAGGCAGTCACCGCCCCTGAGGTCCCCATCACCCTGTGGGGGTAGGTGCTGAGCAGAGGCCATGCCCAGGTGGGGGCTGTTGAGCCATATCCCTGATGATGGGGGAGCTGAGTAGGGGAGGGCAGAAGGCAGGGGTCCTAGGGCATCTGAGGCCCAGGGGCAGAGGAGGGTGGGTGTCCTCACAAAGAGCCACCTTGCAGGTAGAAGTTGGCTTTCTTGGTCACAGAGTATTTGATGTTGAGGTTCAGGTTTTTTACGGTCTCCTCGTCCAGGCAGTGAGGCCAGCCTGGGTGGTAAGTTTTCCAGCTGGAGGGAGGAGAAGGAAGGCGGTCAGCAAGAAGCCACAGGGAACCCACTGACTAAGGAGAGGGAGTGGCAGACCCCTTGGTGGCCCTGGTAAGAGCCAGTTCCCTTCAAAAAGCAGGGGCCTTCCCAGCCTCTGTCCTTCCCCTCCACCCATAAGGCTGCAGGGGGAGCTGCCACATTCCCACAGTGAGACTCTCCCCTGGTCGGGTGATTGGTCCAGAGCTGGGCCACAGTCCTTCCCGGGGAACTGGAGATTGGGGCTGGGCCAAAGGGGCCATTTCTCTCTGGATATCTGGATTATAACATGTAAACATAGGGACTGCAAGGTATGGCCATTTTCTACTGTGTGGACTGGGAACCAAGAAAGCTGTTCTGCAGAGAGAGAGAGAAAAGTGAAGCAGGAGAGAGAAACATACAGGGGGCTCCAGAGACAGGGAGAGAATCACCTTGGTTTCTGGCCTAAGAGATCTGACTACGTTTCCAGCCCTCACTTCTGTGAAACCTCTGTGACCTGTTGATACATTTCCTTTTTTTTCTATCTGCTGGTTGGAGTCTGTTTTTGTTCTTGCAAGAACAAAATTCCTGACTAACACAGATGCATCTCGCAGAGGGGAGGCTGTCCTGAAGGTGGGAAGGCATGAAACCTTAGTTGTCTTTGGCAGGGGTGCCACGGAGAGGCCCTTCAGCCTCCATAGCCTGAGGGAACCCATAAATTAACTCTGGCCTGGCCTAAGCATCTCTAAATCTCTTTATCTAGCAAGCAACACAGCCTGAAGACCTTTGGGTGAAATGGTAAAATCATGTCCCTGCAATGCTGAGAAGCCCCCAGCTAGTGGTCCTCTCATTCACTTGCTCATTCATTCTTTGGTTCATTCAATCATTGCCTCTGGGTTTGAACAGCCAACTTCAGAGAACAGTTTGCAATTAAAGTACACTGCCACCAGGTGGTGACCAAACCCTGCCTCTCAACTTTTTTTTTAAATTTAATTTTTATTGTTTTTTTTCTCTTGCTTCTCAAACTTTACTGTACAAAAATTGATTCCCCCCAGCAATGGGAGAAAGGCATTTCATGGGGTTCCCTTTTGTATTGACTGAATTTTAAATCATGTGAGAGTATCATCTAATCAATAAATAATTAAGCATTAAAAAAAGTCTAATTCCCCGAAGGGATCTTGGTAAAAATGCAGATTCTAATTTCGTAGGCCTGGGGTGGGTGAGCCCAAGAGCCTGCATTTCTAACAAGCTCCCAGGTGGATGTGAGATTTCACTTTAAGTACTGAGGGTCTAGCCAGTTGGAGCAGCTGAGAGATGTTTTGAAAAACAGGAAACATTTTTGTGCAGGGCGTGGCACCTGGCAAGCTGCATTCTTAACTATTTTCTCATCTGTTCTTCCCAATAACACAAATCAGACTGGTAATCTTTGTTTCTTTTGCAGAAGAAAGTAAGGATCAAAAACGTTAAATAATTTGCCTAAGATTTCACAGCTCCTTTCGGCAGGGCCTTGAGTGGCCCTGCGTCTTCTGACTCCTGAATCTTTGTTTTGATAAGAAGGGAAGAGAGGCCACCCCACCGACACAGTTCCCTCCACCTGTTGCCTCACCTGGGGCGGCTGCTGGCAGACCTGGCGCCGCGGTTTTCCTGGGGATGTAATTCACAGCACACATGGACTCACCAGGAGCCAAGTGAGCCTGCAGCTGCTGCACCCCAGGGACCTGGAGTGAAAGCCTGCAGCCCAGCTGGCCAGACCCTGACCTTTTGCAAATCTGCTCCTGAGTGTGATCCCTGAGTTTTCTGCCTCAGGAGTTCTGGCCAGCGACCCCAGCTCCTCTGCAGCCTCCGCCTTCTTCTAGGGGCACCTCTGGGACCCAGCTCTCCCAGCTGACTTCCAACAACACTGAGCTCAGGGCAGAGAAAGAGCCGCCTCCTTTCTCACCCCTTGCCCATGCTGGAGGATCAGTTTCCTGGGGGTTGAGGTGGCATATTTCCAAGGGGGCACAAGTTGATGTTCCAAAAAGCCCCAGGGCAAGAAAGATGCCAGCAAGAGTGAAGCATTTAGAGCAGTGGGTTTCAAATTTGAGTGGGCAAGAGCCATCTGGAAGGCTTGTTAGAACAATGTTGCTAGCAACGAGGATTTACTGTATAGCCCAGGGAATTATATCCAATATCTAGTAATAACCTATAATGGAATATAATCTGCAAACACACACAAAACTGAATCAATACGCTGTACACCTGAAACACAATATTGTAAATCAACTATATTCAAAAAACCACCAATATTGCTGCCCTCCCCACCCCGATATCTGATTCAGTAGGTCTGAGAATTTGCCTTGCTAAGGAGTTCAGGGTGGTGCTGTGATGGGAAGGGACAGAGGACCAGGCAGGGGCTCCAGGTAGCACCACCACCAGTGGCACCAGTGTGTGTACCCCTCCACACACACAGTAGCCCCCTCCTCACCGATACATCTGCCTGGCCTGCAGCTCCTCCTCACGCTATTGCTGGAGCCTGGGGTGGTGGTCTTCACATGAGATCTTCGCCGCGGGAGGAGCGGAGCGGGCAAGAAGGGCAGAGAAACCCCTCTGACCTCTGACTTCAGCCACTGTCCCCTTCACTCGAGCCACCTCCTACCAGGTCCCGTCCACCCATAAGGACAGTTTCTCCCACACCAGACTGCCATCTCCACCTCCCCAAGGCCTCCCCATCTCCCCTCGCCTGTGTGTCCCCGTGGCCACCAGCTCACCTCTCCACTCCTGTTGGCCTTCCCCCAACACACCAGCCCCCTCCTCCCTCTCAGCCCCCCTCACCGGTCCCCTCCCGCAGCACCAGGCTCTCCTCACCCTCCAGCCACTGGTAGCAGGGGAAGCGGAGTGAGGAGCCCTGGGGCGGCATGAGCTGGAACCAGCGGCAGAACCAGGCGTCCGGGGCCAAGGATCCCAGCGGGCAGGGCAGCGCCAGGGGCATCTTGTGCATGCGCAGCAGCAGCACCGAGCCCACGTCCTGGGGAAGTGTCACCTCGAAGTCCTCCTCCTGGAGTGGTGGGGAATGTTAATACCCAAGAGGATCATCCCTCCTGCTCCCTCCTCGGTCCCCACCGAGCACTCACAGTGCCCACGGTGAACTCTTTGCCAAGATGATCCAGGGGCAATTGGGGGAGTCTCTCCCTGGGTCCCTACGATGCCGACAGATATTTTGTTCCACGTGCCAGCCCCCGAAGGCCTCCCCCGTGGACACTCCTCTCACTCTCACCCCAGCCATGGTGCCAGCCAGAGTCTGGCTCCCTTACTACTGGTCTGACCCCACAGTGGGGAAAGCAGGAACACACACCGCCCCGCAGTGGTGGGGCGAGGCTAGTTATTGCCACTGACTCAGTTCCCCTGGGGCCCCATCGCCACCTCCAAAAACAAGCCCTGGCTCAGGGCCGGGAGGGCGGGGCTGAGAGGCAGAAATTGAGGGATGCAGATGGGGGCTGGGCTGGGCCACACTTGGAAATCTGTGTCCTGAGGTTCTGGAAAGGGGATCTTTAGTGATGGGCAGGGCCAGAGAGTTGGGATCCAGGGGGTTCAGAGGTTCGTTTGCCCCTGCTTTGTTTCTTTGCCTTCTTAGCCTTTCATAGTCTGTGCAGGACCAAATCCCCACTTTTTACAAACTCTTCTTGGACTACCTTCATTATTTGATTTCATTCAGTAAATAATTTTCAGAATCAGCCACATGCCAAGTGTTATGTTAGGTGCTGTGGAATACTGACTCAGGCAAGGCCCAGCCTTTGCCCTTTGGCAGGTTTAAAAGTCAAGTGTGAGAGGAAATAAGTAACTAAACAAGGCAGGAGTGCAGTGAAGGAGAGAGAGAGATCAGGGGGCAAGGTGTGGGGGGAAGGTAACTGACTTGGGGTTCTGGTCTAGAAATACGGTTTGAGATGCTCCGTGCACATCCAAGTGGGGAAACCACAGCCAGGCATAGAGCACAGGGCTGGAGGATGTGCTCCTGGGAGTCATCGGCACACAGGTGCATCTAAGCCGTGGGCTGGCTGAGACTACTAAGCAGAGACTGTAGACAGAGGACAGGGAACAAGCCATGCCCCACAGTTCTCTGATGTTCGGAAGTCATGCAAAGGAGGCACATCCAGCAAGGAGGGGTCAGTGGGGTGGGAGAACCCAGAGAGGGTGTTCCATGGAAGTCAAGAAGAGACTGGTCAAATGTGTCATATGCTAAGAGGCTGCATAGGAGAAAGTCAGAGAACTGATCACTGGGTCTGTCAATCAAGGAGATCTTTGAGTTTGATTGAGGGAATCAACTCAGTTCTGTGCAGCCAAGCCCTGACACTCGATAGAATCCCACCATTGCATCTGGGACCTTGCCCAGAGCAATTTCAAGGGTGTGATGGCGGTGGGAGCCAGACTGAGGTGAGCTGAAGTGTGACTAGGAATAGAATTCCAGCTAAACACACACATGCCTTTACCTTGACGCTCCTGAAACCCCACTAAAAACCAGACTTAAGTCATAAACCTACAAGAACAAGAAAATGAGTGTGCAGGTATCAGTGACTGACTTAACAGACAGCAGAAAGGTAAAGGCCCAGAAGTTGGTCAATTCCTGCCTCAAAATCCCCCCCAAATTTTAGAAACATGGAGACAGATGCTCTGAGAGTGGTGCACAGCTGACCCTGGAAACAGAGTTTATCCGATGCAGTTAGGACTCCTCTTCCCCTGCACCTCACACAGCCAGCAGGAGAAGACCTCTCCCCAGCCTAACACATTCACTTTCTGGACAGACTGACCTACAGGGAGTTTGGGTGGGGACACCCGCTAGAGCTGAGAGTGGGACACCAAATTTAAAATTGATGGAGGTGAAAGTTTACACACTGAACAGTGCGGGGTTCTACCCCTCTTCCCTGAACTGTCCCAAGTATTTTGGCAGCCAAGTACCCACACAACCCCACTCCCAGGTAAGACTGGAGGGCTCCTCGCTAGATGAACTGACCAGCCCAAGTGTCACATGGGTCCCCCAATGAAACGGCTTTGCCAATTAGCCCACCAGTTGATAAGCCTTGTTCACACAGTATCCAATCAGCTTTTCTTGCCTCACTTGTAATAATGAATGAATGGCCAAGGATCACCAGATCTTCAAGGAAGGCTTCTATCAAAAAGATAAGTATAAAAATAGAATTGAAAGGACAGATAATGCGGGGAGCAGAAGATGACTTCAAAGAAATCATAATTTGTATCCTCAGAGAGAAGGATGCACATGGCTGTAGAAAATATTTTTTTCTGGGTTAAAAGTTTGGATTTTATAAACCACCCATTCTTTTTTTTAATTATGGTAAAATACACATAACATAAAACAAACCACTTCAATAATTTTCAGATGTACAGTTCAGACATTCACAGGACAGTCAAGTACATTCACTTTGGTGCACAATCATCACCAGCATCCATCTTTGGAACTTTCTCATCATCCCAAGCTGAAACTCTGTACCTGTTAAAGAGAAACCCACAAGATGGGGGAGTAGGAAGACCCTGAGCTCACCTCCTCCCATGAACACACCAAAATTACAGTGCAGCCACTATGGAAAACAGTATGGAGTTTCCTAAAAAAAAAAAGTAAAAATAGAACTATCATACAATCCAGCAATTCCACTTCTGGGTATTATTCTGAAAAAAACAAAGCACTAATTTGAAAAGATATATGTACCCCTATGTTCATTGCAGCACTATTTATGATGGCCAGAGATAGAAGTGACCTCCTGACCTAAGTGTCCATCATTAGATGAATGGATAAAGAAGATGTGGTGTGTGTATATGTATGCATGTATTTGTATACACACACACACACACACACACACACACACACACACAATGGAATATTGCTCAGCCATAAAAAAAGAATGAAATCTTTAATTAGGTTTATTTATTTTTTTAAGATGAGGTACTGGAGATTGAACTCAGGACCTCATGCATGACAAACATGTGCTCTACCACTTGAGCTATACCCTCCCCTATTTGCCTAGTTTTCTATACACTTTTATTAATTTCTCCACCTCTGTCTATACTTGGGCACATCAAATACTCCCGGGCTGTCTCCGGTCTGCACTGTGTGCTCTCTAGCCTGCTATTTAGCTGTCATCCTGGGCTCTTGCCTTCGCACAACCCTTGTCATTCCTTTCCATGCAGTGTACCCTTCAAAGCTACTTCAGAAAGGGTATATGGGAGGGAGGAGCAGTTTTTAAGACTCTGCATGTCTAGAAATGCCTAGAATCCATCTACACCTTTGAATGATAGAGTGAAAATAATTTTTTGTTCAGAACTTTGCGAGCACTGTTTCCCGGGAAACGATGTTGCTATAAAGCAGCCTAAGGCTGTTTGGATCCCTGGCTCTTCTCAAATGACCTGATGTTCCCTCCAAAAGCATTTAGGATCTTCTCTCTGTCCAGGTGTTCTGTAACTTCACCATCATGCAACACGACGTCAATTGTACAGTGCAATTCAGTTATAAACACAAAGAATCATTTATGTTCTGACACCTGGCAATTTGCGTGGGGCTCTGTGTAGTGCCAGCTGGGGTCCCCACATATGGCTACAGTCGCTTGGGAGATAGGCTGGGGCTGAAGTTTCCAAACTGGCTCAGCCAATCATGTGTTGATGGCTGCAGGCTGGCGGGGCATTGCTCTCCACATGGTCTCTCATCATTCAGTAATTCTGCCTATGTGGTACCTGCATTCCAAGAAGCCCGAAGTACAATTGCCAGGTTTCTCAAGGCCAAGGCCAGGAGCAGGCACAGCACCAATTCAGATGCATTCGTTTGGTCAAAGTAAGTCACAGATCAGCTCAGAGTCAATGTGGGAGGGGAAATGGACTCTTGATGGAAGAGGAAAGAATTTGTGGGCATGTTTCATTGACCACAGCACCATAAAAAACAAAATCCCTTTATTGCCACTTACATGGAACTGGGGGCAGGAGGGGGCAAATTCACTGTATTAAAATCTAGTTTTATCCAGAATGACTTAGAAAATCAACCTGCTGCATTTCTCCATCTCTAATTCCCCAATGGCTCCATCCAACCCCCCCCCACTGCCTTTTGCTGTTTTCTGTCTTTTTCTGCTGACACAGAATGTACCTCGAAGGAGGCAACAATTCTGTCCTCTTAGCTGTGAGGGGTCATGAGAAGATCGAACGATAACAAAAAGCTGTAGGTTCCTGTGAAATGTTTGCATTCGTTTTAATTTTACCTTTATATTCATCAATGATGGTTTTTTAAACTTGCGAAAATGACGAAAAGATGGTAGGAAAGTAGAAACAGTGAGGAGGAAATATTCTTTTAATAAGTTTTGCTGTGAAAGGGGCAGAGGAATGGGGCTACAACAGAGCATATGACATCCAAGGAGAGTTGTTTTCAAGATGAGCAATTCTTAAAATGTTTCTCAATCTTGGCTTCACACTGGAACTATCAGGGGTATAAAAAGACAATACTCAGGCCTCGCCCCAGTGTCTGGGTACTGGGCACAGGCAGTAGTAATTATCACAGTTTCCTGGGTGATTCTGATTTGCAGCCCTGGTTGAAACCGCTGCCCTCAAGGCAGTGCTTATGTTGTTGGAAATGAAGGAGGGAAACTGATGCAGGTGGGAGAAGGGCTAATCTCCAAATTAAAATCCCGCGCAAGTGAAAGGTGCAGGACCCAGAGCCCAAGCGGGGACACTGGCCTCTCACGGGTGCAACAAGCAGGACCTTCACCCCTTCAACCACAGAAAATTCGCCCAGGAACTGACTTGAGCGACACACTTGGCTACTGTTACTGAAGTAGCCAGAGGAGGGTGCGCGGTAATGAACCGCCCATCGACATCCCTCCTCCCTCCTCGCTCCTCCCTTCCTTGTAGAGCCTAAATTTGGTTTAGGGCAGGGAAGCGGCCACCACACCCATCAGGAGAGGAGCGGGGAGTTGCTTGGCAGCCCCTGTAGAAAAGGGGATGCTTCTCTTTTTCAAAACTCCACCAAATGTCTTCTCACCGCCTCCTTTCTCATTGCTCCAAATGGGCTGCACTGCGATCCCTGAACCAACCAACGTGGCCTGGAAGATGGAACCCACTGGGTGACTCAAGCCAGCTGCTGGGCTGAATCCGGCAGGCCTGCAGGCCTTGTTCTTGCCCACCCTTGAGACTGAAGAAAGAGCCCAGAGACAGCGACAGAGACATCAATGGCTTAACAGACAAGGGGTCCTACAGGTCCTGGAGCAACTCCTTACAGTGCATGGCAGACAGCACGCAGGCCGCGGCGACAGTCTTCTCTACGTGGGGGAGGAGGAGGTCACCATTTATAGGCGGAATTGACATCAGGTTGGCTCATGAGTTACCAGGGAAACCGGGGCAGGGGCAGGGGGCACGCACGCAGGCAGTTATCGATTAAAGCCTATAATTAAGAGGATTGGACAGTCATGCGTGTGAAGCAGGGCCAGGTGGAGCAGGGGATCGACAGGGAGCAAGAGGACAGGCATCTTAAATGGCCTGGCCACGCACCAACCAAGGTGTGTCCCTGGGACTGCAGATGGGGTCTGTCCCACTCAAACTGCATGGCTGAGAATGGGAAAGGGTGGTCTCATGAGGGACCTGAGAGGGGCACCAGGAGGAGAAACCAAGGCCAGGCAACAGAGCACACTCACTACAGAGCAGAGACACACCGTCCACGGGGGTTAGGGCCCCTGGGTGCAGTCACGGAAGGGCTGTCGTCTGGGTGGAGGAGGATGTGGACAAAGTCATCACCTGGGGACTTTCCTGTGTCAGGTCCTGTGCTGGGTGCTGGGGGTGAACGGATTAAATGGGACAAAGTCCTTGTTCTCCAGCAGCTCCTGATTTGACGTGAAAACCCCAGGGCCCGGGGAACATAAAGGACAGTGTGTGGATGGCAGTACCCATGGCCCTTACTCTCGTGGCAGCATCCTCGTTTTCCTGTAGAGAATAATCCTTTTCCTGTTCTCAGGTGGTATGGACACGGTGGAGCTGGCTCACCCTCTGGCTCCAGGCGTGAGCATGAGCTCTGCATGCCCAGATTTGAGTTGGGGACTGATTCAGGGATGAATAAGTGACTTTGTCCAGGCCAGTGAGAATCAGCCCTGGGATTTTTGTTGTTGTTGCTGCTGTTGGAATTTTTTTTAAAGTACTTTCATTTCCTAGGAGTTGCTTAAATGATAGAATATAAGTAAGCCTTGAAGCCACAACTGGCCATCTCTGGAGCCATTTTGGGAGAGCCCACGTGAGATTGAAGGTAACACAGAGGCCAGCATAGCTGAGTGACTTATAGGCCCCCTCCTCATGTGAGTACCTGGATACAGCCATGCCTGAAGGGAGATGTAATACTCATGGTCTTTTTGGTTACATGAATCAAAAGTTTCCTTTAAAATAAAATTGAGGTCCCTGGCTCAATCCTGGGTTTCAGCACGAAAAAAAAAAAAAAAGATTGAACTCTTTTAATCAGAAGAATCCTGATTGGTACAGAGGTCTATCCCAGACATGGGAGTGGGGCATGTCAGAGAAGGCTTCCTTCAGGTAAGAATGCTCACACTGTTTTGTAGGATGAGCAAGACTTAGTCAGATGGAGGTGAGAAAAGTGCTCTGCCGACCCCACCTGCCACCACACCTGCGAATGGGGCCCTAAACTGAGAGCATCTGATGCCTCTGTCTGTTCTGTGCAGTGCAACCTCTCCTCTTCCACTTCCTGCCCTCATCCTGCTGAACGGGTCAGTGGGTCAGAGACGATCATCCTTGTCATGTATCCATTCAGCAGGTGTACCTTCTGAGCCCGTTCAAGGTGAGACGCTGAGCTGGAGGTTGTCGGGAGAGAAGGGTGTGTAACGAGGTCAGGGAACAGACTCGGTGAACTTCCTATGATATTCTAGCCTCGGAAGTCCCAGAATGTCACTTCTGACACATTCCATTGGTTAAGTGAGTCATGCAGGCCAGCGTAGATTCCAGGTTGGGGGAGAATAAGACCTCGCCTTTCAGTGGGAGGAGCAGCAAACAATTTCATTTTAATCTAGCAAAGTCCTTATGAACAGTCTGTCACAAAATCATGACATCATGACAGGATGTTGGCGAACGGGAGTTAAATAGTAAGAACCTATTTGTGTTTCTTTGTTCTGCCCAAGGGAAAGTGGCTAAGTCAGCCAGGTTCTTTGGGGTGTGAATAAAGAGACCTACGCAGGTTATTTCAGATATCAGGGTTTAGTTTAAGGACATATGGTATAGGGACTGTTGACTTTAAAAATAAAACAGCCAGTTATTTTACCAGCAGAATGGGTTCATTTGGGGATAGCAAGGAATTGCAGTTCAGGGCATGCAATCTATGGAGGACCACAGGCATGTCCAAAGAACAGGAAGGGAAGCCACAAAACGGGGCTGTGGACGAAGTTTTGCCTTGGGTGTGGCCACGGGTAGGAGCCTCAGGGGCACCGTGACTGACGTGTCTAGTACAGAGTTGCTGACAGAGAACCTGGGGGAAATGCTGGCTTCCCTCTGGTTGCACCTATTGACACCCCTGCCCCGCACTGACGTCCAAGGAGGCTGACCCCATCAGTGCTGCTGTGTAGCAGGTGACACAGAGGTGGTGAGTGAGAGAAGGCGAAGGGGAACCTGGCAAGGACAGCCTCACTGGACATAGCACATCTTCTCCGGGACCAGCTCCTTGTCGTCCTGGGGCCTGGGCACTTCACTGCTCTTTCCCCAGCGCCCTGAATCCTCCCGCCAGCATGCCTTGGACCAGATGCCCTGGTTGCGCTCCCTTCCGCTTCCTGGCCCCTGAGCTGGGGCTGTGGAGACACACTAGGGCAAATGACAACTGGGTGTCATCGTGGGGCCTCAGCCAATGCATGGACTCCGACTCTGGGTGACGGACTGACTCCTGCAAGCAATCTGGTGATTCCTTTATACGTCTCCCTGACTGATGAACCCAAGTTGTTCATACACTTGAAACCCCAGCCACTTATGACCTTTGGGACGAATATGCTTAGTTAATAGATTTTCCATTCCCCTTGCTGGCAGGCACCTACGGTGTCTGCTGCGTTCTAGTCTCCTTGCCGTGAAAAGCAGAGACGGTGCTTTGCTTGCATAGTTGACGTTTAGCTTGAGGCTGCTTTTACAAAACCCCTGTGTCCTTTTGCTATAAACGCTTTGCTTATCCAAGGCATAGGTTGCTAGTGTGGGGCAGCAAAGCTGCCACCTACGCCCTTAGCTGTAAACACTGGGGCTTGCTTTTCTCGCTCCTTAGACACTGTAACCTTTAGACAGGAGGAACTGGCGTCCTGGCGGTGTGATTCTGTAATCAACTCCTTACACCTGATTCCTGAGGAATGTACTTTGTTCCCTCTCCCCGTGGCTGCCTTGAAGATAGGGTAAGACTTTGTCCTCATTGTATAATTTATGATCTCCTCCTGTTCCTGCTTTTTCTGAAATCTTTGCATTCCATGATGCGCGTGTTTGTGATCCTTTCTTGTGAGTGTGTACAATAAATTTGGGAGTTTAGAGAGGCTCGGTGGTCTTGTCTGCCCGACTCCCTCGCACTCTCTGGACTTTCCACGAAGTCTTGAGTAGATTTCATTCTGTCACAGTGGGACTTGTGCCTGCCAGAACCCACGAGTTATCCGAAATCCCTGTCAGCTTTGCCTAGTGTTGGGGGTCTTCCCTGTTGGGGACGAAGTGGCCTTTGCCCACAGTAAGGGCTGAATTGGCTTGAGGGCTGCCTTTAGGCCCTAGACCTCTGGCCCACCCCCTGCCTTTCCTGAGCCTCCCCTCCCCCAGCCCCGTGACGTCTCCTCATGTACATGTGCTATTTGATTTCTTAGTACCACCTGGTGCTGCATGCTGGGTCCTTGAGGCCTGGCACACCTAACACCAGAGAGTGGCTCTTTCCTCAGGGTCTCCCCCAACTTCCCCAAAGTCACCTCAAATCCTCCCCTGACTCCCCAGCCCACTCATCTTGCTATTGGCAGACATGTGGCCATCCTTGTCTGCGACAACACCAAGGACACAGGACAGGAAGCTCTTTGGCAGCCTTTTCTTCCCCTCCTGCTCCAGCCTCTTGCGTCAGAGGACAAGGCTTGCGTACTGCTGTCTAAAGCTACTTCCATCTCCTCAGGGACTTGCTCCCATCACTTTTTGCCTCTATGCTAATAGTTGTAGAGTTTAAGACCTTGGGAAAATTAAAATCTTGACTAGCACTTAGTAACTGGGTGGCCTTAGACATGTCATACCACCTTTCGGAGCCTCAAGGTTGTCATCTGTAAAATGGAGCTATAAAAGTATCTGACTCATAAGGCTGTTGAGGGTATTCAACTGCTGGGTGCAGCTTCTGGCCCATAGGAAGCACCCAACAAAATGGTGCTCCCCTTCCTCCCACACACTCGGAAGGTGACCTCGCCTCCTATTTTACTGAGAAAATAGACATTTGGAGTGGAAATCTCTGGAACCTGCAGTGACTTAACTCACGAATGTGCACACTCCCAGGCCTATCCTGGTCTGCTCTAGTTCTCTGGCCAGGGCTTTCCCTCCTCCCATCCTAGGGAATCCCACCTCCTGTACCGCGATCCACCCCCACGGGACATAGGAACCCGGTTCCCTAGGAACCCCCTCCAGGGCCTCTCACCTCACTCACTCCTCCCAATCAGCTGTTGACAGGCAAAAACCTCTCCCTTCTTCAAAGAAAGAAACACAAAACTCCACCTACCCTGCTTCCTTTCTGGCTCCTGGATGAACACTTTGTACAGCTGCGTCATCACGCAGTGTGTCCTCTGGCCTTCTCTGGAAGGCTCTGACTGCTGGAAGGACCAGTTTCCGGGGTCAGCTCCGGTCTTGGGCTCATCCATGATCATCCAGTTCAACCACCTCAGTGTACGTGGGCATTGCCCCGAGCCTGGTTCCAGGGCCCCAGGAGCCCACCAGGGTGGAGACCAGATACGGGCCTAGTTTCCAAGGGCCAGGAAGGCCTCTGTTCCTTGGGGGCAGTGCTGAGGGTGAAGTCCTCAGTACCAGCCCCTCCTCTTCCCCTTTCAGTGTCTCCTGAAGCTGATCCCGAGTCTTCCACGCAGGCCCCATGCCACTACTGGCCTGAAAGCCTTATTTCAACTGGGGCACCACCCACCCTGGCAGAGAGTGTGGCAAGAGCTCTGGGTGCCCATTCCTTCTGGGATAAAGGCTAAACCATGGGGGTGGAGGGGTGACCTCAGGGACAAAAGTGGAGGACCGTCCAACGTCATGCCTGAGAACCCACATGGCCCTAAATCAGACAGGACATTGACGGTAGTAACAAGGAACTTCTGCAGGAGGCACGGGGCTCAGGAGTGGATGGTCAGAACAGAGAGAGCAGCCTGAGGAGATGATGTGCTGCTGGGCAGGCTGATGACAGAAAACGGTGGTGCAGCCAGACCATCAGCTGGATGACTCTGAACGTTTATTAGCTTTGCTTGGTGGTTTGGATGATGAGGTAGAGTAGAAAGGAAAGCCCTTTGTTGAACTTGCCATCATGAGCACATTTTAATCAAATAGACCAACATTTCATCATGATGAAAAAAATTGTGAGAGTTTGGTGGTATATAACAGAAGGTAATTTTGTTTGGCATTAAAAAATGCTGATTGTGTAACCCATTCATAAAGTGCATGTTAACTCTGCTGTAGCCAGGTGTTGAGTGAAACTCTTCCTGTTGCCAGGGAATTAGAACTGGGCCCTCGGCTGAAAGCATGAATTAAGTCCTAGCACCCCACGTCCTAAAGAAAGAAACCAACAAACAGCTCCGCTAACCCCGTCTGCACCCCCATCCCAAGGACTTTGAGAGTCTGTGGAACTTGGCCCAGCCATAATCTATACTCCCAGTGCCCGTGGCCCAGGCCACCCAGCGAGCACGGGGATTAGAGACAGTGTATGGGGATCTTTTTAGATGGCAGGGTCAATATTCCCTGTGACAGAATGAGTAAATGCCTGAATGGCATGTCCCTCTCTCAGCCCAGGGCCAATGACCCAGGCTCAGGTGTGGGTGGTAAAGTGGAATGTCTCTGTTGGAGGTGACAACATGTCCTTCTCCCCCATTTCTCTACTCCCTTCCCCCTCTGGGAGCAAGGAGGGCCGTCTGTCCCATTCTCATCTCCTTGTCAAGGTCGAGTCACTAACTGGTAAAGATGTCGCCGGGCAGTGCCACCCTGAGCTTACTTCTGTCCCCCACGCATTATCTCCTCTGGGGCAGGACCTGAAAGATTCCACTGCCTTCTAAATGCTGAGTCAGCACCAGAGTCCTGACAAGGCTCCAAGACTGTGCATCTTCTCGTCCCAGGTCCTAACCTCTTCCCCAGTGAGGTTCCCTGTAAACGGAATTTTCAGGAACACTCATACCTCAGGGAAGGGCCCTGGCTGACTCTCGGTGGAGTCAGGGCTTGGAGAGAGACTGTTTTCCTCCCACACTCATCCTTTAGTCCCTCCTCCCTCCCAAGCCAGCATCCCCCGCCTTTTGTTTCTGTTAAACCAGTCTAACCCCCACCGCTTTCCATAATCCTCTTGAGAAGTGTCTATCAGGATACTTTTGACTGCGAAGAAGAGAAAACCAAATTCAATCTGGCTTAAGCAAGGAAAACGACTTGCCAACCCGTGGCACTCAAACAGCTGGCTCTGTTTCGGCCCAGCAAGGTGCAGCAGCTCAAATAAGTGGCCGCAAGATTAGTCTCTGCCCATCTGTCAGTTCTGCTCCTTGTCTTTCTGGCGACAAGACCACCCAGCGACCCATCCTCTCAGCAACCCCAGAGAAAAGACACACCTTCTTCCCTCAGCTTCTAGCTTCTCAACACTAAGCCTTGTTTGCCTGGCCTGGGCCACCTGCCTATCCTTGAGGCAATCCCTGTGGCCAGAGGGATGGAGCGACTGGGCAGGCTTGGAGGGGGAGGTCTGGGGGTCAGTTCCACTCAGTTTCCAGGGGACTGAGAGTGGGGCAGGGATGGCTGCCCAGCACTGAGCAGGAGGGGTGCTAGTAAGGCAGAGCCCCCAACATGCACGAGTCATCATGTCAGAAACACAGCCTGGGGCATGGATACCTGGGCTCGCAGACAATGGATAACCAATGAGCTGGTCACCCATGGGTGGCTTTGGGATGGTCTTTCCTGTTCTGCTGGCCCAGTGGCAGACTATTGAAGGGTTAGAGGTGGAGTGAGGGTTGTTGGTGAGGTCTTGCTCAGAGACTAATGGACCTTAACTTCTCCATTTGGGGGCCCCATTCCTTCAGTCTTCCATGGGTCCTGGGCCATGGCCAGGCCCAAAGAGGAGCTCTGCCTTTCTACCTTTCTCTCTCCTGCCTACGACCAAGGGATGAGGCCACACCACGCATTTCTGGAGCCTCAGACACCCTGGTCTTTTCTAAAAGCCTAAAAAGTCTGTGGCCTCCCTGCTTGGTTCTCTCAGAGCAGACCCCCTGAGGAGAGGGCTTCCTGGGGGGTTGTTGACCCCAGCTCACCTCCCCCTGCTTAGGTCATCTCTAGGTTCACCCCTATCTGAAGCCCTCCCTGGCAATGCCAGGTTCAAACATTCCAGGGATGGGGGATGTTCAGGCCCCCTGGGGCC